TGTATTCCCGATCCTGCCTGTGTGAAATGGCATCCTGTAAAGTTAAGTATGTGTTTCCATAATTAGTAGTGAGCCCAACCAAGCATCTTTCCTATGTTTACTGGCCATCTGTAGTTTCCCGTTCCACAAACTATGAGACAGGGAATCTATCTATGGAAAAAGTTTCCATGGTCACTCCAGAGCCTGCGCTGGGACGCATACTCAAGTGTGTGGTTCTAAGGTTTAAATCTTTGACCACTTACCTAAGAGTAAAGGGACTCAACCAAATATTACCTTCTCAGGAAGACTTCCAATTCTTCTCAGGCCAGAGCACAAAGTAGAATCAGCAGCAAAAAGAATGAAAGAAAACCAGGTGGAGAAAAGAGGTTTTGTTTTTTTTAAAGCTAAAAAGTCCTAATTTGGACCATAGGAAAAATCTGTTCTTGCAAAGTCTAGCCATGCAAATTTGGAAAAGTTGTTATTCTTCTGTTCTCAGTCTTCCAATCTGCAAAATTAGGATAACAATCTGTACCACTCCTTATTCCCATGTGGAAATTTTGAAATAAACATTCTTTTAAAACTTTGAAAATAAAAGAGATTGTCAGAAGTCAAGGTTCTGCGAGCGTTAGTCATCCGATGCCTTCCAAAAGCCTAAGAGGACAGAACTGTAGTCCTCTGAACAGCTTCCTGGAGTGAGCCGCTCTCCTAAATTCTTGCCTGAAAAGCCCGATGGCTTTGCAGAACAACAAATTAACTCCTAAAAGAACACGGCCCTACCTTTCAGTCTCAGAAAAGAGATCTGAGAAATTCTTCATTTTACAGGTATAGAAATTAACTCCCTTAGGTGGTCAGATAGTCTTTCAAGGATCTCCTAGTCTGATTCAAGCTTTTCATACACTAGCCACCACACCCTCCCCTCTGGTCTAATGGCCCCTGGTGCTCCAGGTCCTAAGTCCATCCTAATGCCAGACTTGCTTGCTTCAGACTCCATTACAGGTGTGAGGGCTCAACAGTGAACAATACTTCACCTTCCCACCCTTAGAATGGAGTCATCACGGAAAGGAAACAGAAATGACTCCTCTCAAGTGTCAATTCTCAAAAGCACGAAGGAAAAAGCTGGTATCCTATAGCTTCTTTCACTAAAGAATAAGAAGCTAGATCGATATAATTTACAAGCAAAGGGTATTCCCAACCAGCAGGCCAGGATCTGAGGTCACATGGGTTGCTGCTGCCACAGCCCCCTTCTGAGGTTTGACTTCACTGCGAGCACTCGTGCTGACCCTTCACTCACCCACCCCACCAAATGGGATCGCAAGGCTAGGCTGAAACAAAGAAACAGTGAATCCTCATCACACAAAGGGATCCCTGCCTAAAGCCCCTCCATCTACAAGGCCTGCGCCTGCGCAGAGATGCACCATTGCAGCACCGAACTGAATAGTGCCACAGCCTCTGGAGCAAATGGGTGCTCTTTCTGCATCTCTAGGAGGTGCACAATCATCATCTGCATCTTTGTCCGAGCCCACTGTTCTTTCCGGTATTTTCTACTGCCTTCTTCTGCTCCAAGCAGATTCTCCCAGCCAAAGCTCCACCATAGCCCAGGAACTTCCCAGACTCTGTGACTCGGTGCTCTCAAACATGGGAGTTAAGAAAGTCATACCTACCAATGACCTAGGAAGTTCACTCCTTCCTAGATGAGGAATAGAGTTAAAACAAAACCAAACCTAGGGGCACCTGGGTGGGTCAGTTGGTTAAGCGTCTGCCCTCGGCTCAGGTCATGATGCCAGGGTCCTGGGATCAAGCCCCGCATCAGGCTCCCATGCTCAGCAGGGAGCCTGCTTCTCCCTCTGCCGCTCCCCCTGCTTGTGCGCTCTCTGTGTTAAATAAACAAAATATTTAAAAAACAAAACAACACACACACACAACCAAACCTAGAAGAGGTTCACTTTACTTCAGCTGCAAAATTGGAGCCAAAGAGCTATTTATATATTTGGTCAAGTATTATCTATAATTTTTCTCAGGAGTAAGGTTACAAATAGCTGTCATCTACCGTGAAAAACACACCAATAAGGCAAGGCGAGGCCAAAAGCCAGCCAAGCGTAGAAGGAGAAAGGCAGAATGAGATTAAGAACTAGCCACAAATTATTTTACTTACTCATTCTATAAAAGTGGCATCCAAGGGCAAAAGGGATCAAAAGCAAGGACCAAGATAAACAGTTTTCTTCTGGAGTCCAAGAAAAGAAGAGTTTCTCATACGCGCTAACATGCCAAGGTCTCAGATACAAGGTAGTTCAATAGAACTGTTCCAGAACGCGGAAAACATTTCCCAACTGCTAACGCTGTATTTCCTCATTGTTAATGGACCCCTTTCCAGTGCAAGTAGAACTAAGAATTTCTGAGGAACATGAAGAGATCCAGGAGTGGTATTTTAGTAAAGACAGGCCTCATTCTCCCCAGTTCCTTGTTCCCTTTAACATGAGAAAAGTCATGTGATGTTAATATGTAGTTACTATAATTTTTATAGCTAAATAAAACCCCGAATATAGAACCAAATTAAAGGACAAGTTCTTTTAGGCTGTTCTGAAACCGCCTATATTTGATTCGATGTTCAACCACATGCCAAGTGCACGCAGTTGCGCAGCTGGTGCTGGCCCCCGGGAAGTAACTGTCCGCTGAGTTTTCTGCCCAGGAGCAAAGGTGCTAGGAAGCTTTCTGCTCTCTTTGAAATCTCACTGGTCCTAGCTGGAAAGGGAGGCAGGGGCTACAGGAAAGCCAGTGCAAAGCTACTTGTATCTAGATGTAACACACCAACAGCCACATGCAAAACATCTTGGGAGTAGGATACAGCTACTGCTTGGAAAAAGTCGGCATACCAATAAGATCTGTTAACAAAATATAATCCACTTTCACATCCAAAAGCTAACTTAGGAGCTGCTCCAGACACCATCTAATTAACTGAAGCAGATAGAAAAAAAATCCTCAGAAATTATCATTGTTTAAATACACTCTATTTTATTTTGTCTTAAAATAGTTTAACCTTTATGCTACAGACTTATTTCAAAAAACAGAAAATCTTATCTTGCACCAAAAAATATATATATAACACTCTGTTTTATTATTTTTTTTTCTCCAAAGACCATTAAATACTAAATGGAAACAAAAACTAAATAATGAATGTAAAGAAGAACTAAATTTTGTTTTAAAAACTAGAGTTGCACATTTTAAAACATTAACTCTAAGCAATGATTTGTCGTCACTGCATCAAGTCCACGCTCACACTCCAGCAACAGCAGACCTGTTAACCACCAAGTGCATTGGTTCCTAGCCATACAATGGCTAACATTTCATTTTCATGGTAAGAGGAGCAAAAGGCTTCATAGGACCTTTGTACTCTTTAAAAAACAAAACAACAAAAATATTTCCTAGTTATCCAGTGATTTTTCTTTTAAGATCACTACCCTTTAAAATTTGTTAAAAGAATAAGATGTAGTGTTTTAAATAAAATGAAAAATACAACAGCATTGGACTAAAATACGTGATTATTTTAAACAAACAGTGCACAATCTGAGGAAGTTTGGTTAGGGCGCAATCATTTATATATATATACATGGAAGTCACATCATACACATACTGGAAAACAGAAATTACGGGCTCCTTGCATTTGAAAAAAAAGTTTAAACTAAAAGACAACATTGTGTCCCCAGCTCTTTCAAAAACCTTGTGACACAGTATAAAAAGCAGGCAATAAATTCATTTTTAAGTTAACTACGGTGCTAATCTGCTAAAAGTAACAGTGAACAACTGACTAACTTAGCAAATCAGAGGGTTCATATTCATAATTGAGAACAATAAAAGCAGAGTTGATGCAATGCTCAGTTGTAACGAATACTGGAGTCCATTCAGTCTGGCCCCTTCCATCAGAATGAAAAGACAGCTACTGGTGAGCAGCACGTACGTGTTCTAGGGCAGCAACAAGGACGCAACAGCCAGTTCTTGCTCTGTGGTTTCAAACTGGAGGGCAGGAAGGGACTTAACTGAATTTGTGCCACAATCCAACCTGTGACCCGAGTGCACCACTTTAGCAGAGCTTTGAACAATGTTCTGTGAGGCATAAAGAAGTACTTATGCTACCAAATCCAACACTTTGGTTAACAACAATCCCTTTAAAAGAAATTTCAAATGTCACAGGAGTTGTTACCCACACAATTTTATCAGTACAATACCTTGCCGGAAACCACACCCCCCCTCTTCTGGATCTGGCAATGAAAGAAGAGTTGAAACAGAGTCTCTCTCTGGTTAGTAGGTGGAAAAATCCCAACCCTGCAGGGGAAAACAGTTGACTGTCTCCACCATCCCTTCCCCTCCCCCTTTTGCATATTAATTTCTAAATCCCTGTTCTGGTGCATCAAGTCAGGTAGTCAGGATGCTGGAACGGGGGCAGGTGCGGGAAAAGTGCGACCTGGTGTAAAGGCAAAAGGCCACAGAAGAGCTTGGTTATGACTCTGCTCTCTGCTCCCAATCCAGAGTGCACACAGCACACCAGAAGAATTCTCTCTAGAGGATGACTACTAGGGGCTAAAGAAAATATGTCATGGGAAATCACCTGCTGTGTGGAACTGGACAAAACACACTATTAACATAAGAATAGGTAATGCGAAAACATTCTTTAAAATGGGGCTCTGCCCTGATGCTGGGGAAAAAGTAAGCTGCAAAAACTTCAAGTCATATAATCCACTCTATTCTTTTCCCAATGATTTTCCTGGAAAACACAGACCAGAAATTGTACATTTCTGCTTTGTCTAGCATTTTAATTCAAGTCAAAAACAACGTGTAACAGTAAAATTCAATAAATTAATCCTAAAGTAAAATATGAAGGTCCAAGGATACACCAGTAGTGAATCTGCAGAAGGTCCTATTTCGCTCTGGCCTCTGGATCTTTGGTTTTTGTCTAGAACTGTGGCCATGTGAGAGACTTGATATATGAGGTGCTAAAACTGGAGGTTCATGATCTTTTATAAGCCTGATCTATTAAAAGTAGATTGACAGGAAAATAAAAAGTTGATGAAGAACAGAGGCCAGATCAAATGAGAGGCTATCAGAGAAGATCAAAGAACACACGCTTATATCCACTCCCATGGAAGAGGTACATGGAAGAACTAAAGCAGCAGGAAGAAGGGTAAAGGACTAAATGAGTCTTTACCAAAAAAAAAAAGAAGAAGAAGAAGAAGAAGAAGAAGAAGAAAAGGCCAGGCAGGTGGAGCCAGGCAGACTCTGACGCATGTGCACGCAGGGGTGTCCCCATTTGTCTTGGCAGCCCCGCTGCACCTACCCTGCACCGTGCCTTACGCAGGACAGGTACTTGGTACATGTGTGTCCACTGATTGACAATTGAAAATGGTAGTTCCATGCTCTTATGATAAGGGAGAGCCACCAAGGCATTTGGGGAGGGAAGCAAAGGGCTACAGCAATGTTATATGGCAAGTATGGAAACAAAAGAAAAGCAAACAAAAACCACAGAAAAACAAAAGATGAGGTCTTCTAAGCCAATAGCACTTCACTCCTCCCTGTGCACAGTACATAGTGTTCTAACTAGGTATTGCTTGTAAAAGAATTCACTAGTAACTACAACATGTTAGAGGAAAAAAGGTAGTTAACTAATGCCACACAACTCCAACACTGGCATTTCCTGAGTTCCCTGAAGCTCCTATCACCCTTTGCTTATTGAGAGACTGTAAAACCTACAGTGTCATTTATGTGCTTTGCATCTGGTTTCTTATGGTGCATTTTGCTTTTTCCACTTTTAGATGGTAGAGGAGAAGAAGACCCAAATATAGCATCAAGTCTATTTCAGCTCAAGTGTTGAACAGTTGTTCCTCCTCTATGAAGAGACCAGCTATGAAAGAAGGCACTGTCTTCTCAGACTTGTAAGTGCCCACAGTCTAAGAGGTGAACGCAACTCTTCATATTCTACCTAAATAATAGGTATCTGTGTTCTCCCGTTATTTGAACAAACCAGGAAAAAAAGTTGAGGGAGAGAGATTTTCCTACTGATCTCTCAATACTCTCCTCCCATGCCCAGAAAACCTCATGGTGGGTATCTATCTGAAATGCCTCTGCCCCAAAAGCAGACATTTTACAAAGAGTTATGAATTATTGCAACAAGGAGACCAACTAAGTCACCTTAGCAGTATTTATAAACACAAAGGGCCATATCAATTATTTGTATTGTGGGAAATCAGCCAGGAGCAAAGTCAGGAAAGAAGGCAGAAGACTTAAGCTAAAAGAAAAGTAATACTTCTGTCTTCTATTTTTAAGGACAGGTTTTCAAATGCACATGCCCTACTAGGTGCCAAGAAGGACCTGACTAAATGTGTGCAAATGCCCTAAGGTAGGAGTGCCAATGGGTGGGCTGACAGTGGTCAAGTCTAGATATTAATTTTATTACACAGAAAAATAAATACAAGATTCAAAAACTGAAATCCATTTCACCTGGTAATTAAAATATTATTCTAAAAGGAAGGCAGAGTTTCCTAAGATCAAAAGTCACCAAGTAAAATGAAGCTCTCTAATAAATTCATCATCCTCATATTTCTACTGAGGGAAAGAAGAAATTCTTTTCTCTGTGCTAAGTTATTTTCCTAAGTGACTTCTTTTAATTTAAAAAAAAAAAAAAAAAGGAGGGGAGGGGGGCAATTTTCCATGAGTTTCGATTATACAAATGCCACAAACAGCTTCTGAGGCTGAAGCTATGACAATGAACTTCCATGTCACAAAGAGGAGGAGGAGGAAGTGGAAGGGAACAGTGCAGAGGAAACACAGTGACCTTGTATTACAGTAGGTATTTACGTCTGCTATCCTCATCCAAGGTAAGATCAACAACTTCCGCGGGTGAAGCCCAAGTCTGCTGGGGAGTCACAGCGGTCCATGACTGTGTTTGCCGGGTGCTGACATACTGCGTGCCGGAACCGTGCTTCCACGACGAAACACTCTGAATCACACCTCCTCGAGGATGAACACACCTGCAATCGAGGTGAAGAGCAAAAGCATAAGCCTGGTTAATCCCACCACAGGGAAAACAGAAGGCAATATGGCTTCAGTAGCACCAACTGATACTTTTACAAAGATAAGCCTACTGTGTGAGTTCATGAAACTCACAACCAATATCCTTCCCATCCTCCTCCCTCTTTGTCTTCCTTCCCGCCTCTCTCAATTTAGCCTAAAAACAGACAAGAGTCTTGTCTCAGTCAGAAACTCCTGAGTTATGTCTAGATCTGTTACTGAAATGGACAGATAACAATGTTTCTCTTAACACAATTAAACCTCTGGGGTCTTCAGGACAGGGCAGAATATAAATCCAGAGCAAAATTAAGATACCCAAACAATCTTAGTCTAACCAAATGAAACAGTAAGAAATATACGTATAAGCTGTTCTCCTAAGTAAGTTCTATGCCATCCTGGGAATAGTATCTTCCAAGAGAGTAATAGTAATACTCCTTTACAGATTGGATTTCTAGGAGTCTGTAAGTACTAGGTCATGCATAAAGGATCAATTTCCCTTACCCTGAAGGTCACAACAGAACACCTGGTTCATTCATCTGAACTGCTTATGTGTTTTATGTCTTAGTTCAGGGAAAGTTAACAAGGCTGAAGTGCTCCATCTGTTAAGGTCCTCTAAAAGTGTTTTATCAGAGGGACAGAACTGCCTTGTTGATAAATCTCACCAAGAGTTCACTGGAAGAAAACGGTTTCTGCAACACTGACATAATGAATTCCACATTCCAATCAAATGCTAGAACTGTGAGCCTCCTGGATGAATCACTGAGGGACTCTGGATTCTGATGAGTGGAAGGCAGGCCGCTCAAGCTTTCGGTGCTACTTTGGTCCTCACATCTAACTTACTGACCAGAGCCTGCGTAATATATGTGAAAGTGACAGCTGGTAGGATTCTAGTCACATAAACTACTACAGTGGGTCTTGAGCAGCTGCTCAAACAGGCTGCGTACAACGAGTGGTGCTGGATCACTGGAGAATTCCAGCTCTGCCCACTGCTACCTGCACTACCAGATGCAAAAGAACATTAGGGTAACAATGGACAAGATTTAGTTGCAAAACTGCTGAAGGACTCTTAAGACCCTGCAAAGAGGCCTTGCTCCTACAAAGGTAGCCTAAAAGTTACTCCCTTACCAAGAGAGGTGCCAAAAAACAGATCCCCTGGGGCCAAAGCAAGGGGCAGACCGTAGATTTGTTACCATACCAGAAGCCCATTATCTGTTCAGAATGGGCAAAGTAGCTATTAACCCAGGGGCTACTATGGTTTCAAAGATTAGCTAGTGAAAAGGACTAAAATATGAGACATAAAATCCAAAGACTAATCCAGATCTGTCCAATCCATTAAGTACACTCAGATGAAGTGATCTTGTAATCTCAGAAGAATGTCAGCCAAAGGAGTCCATGCAACATTTATAGAAATAGTTTTGATGACTGATGGCACTAGCATACTGAGTTTCTTAGCAGCCTCACCTCATTTGACAATCCCAACAGACCTATGAGGTAGATGGAGAAGTTACTATCCATACTCAACCAAAAGGGAAACCGAGGATTCAGGTGGTTACATGATTTGCCCAGGGTCACACTGCTTGAAAGTGGTGGGCCAAAGAGCTGCAAGCCAGGTCTGATCTTGAGTCCACTGCTTTTCACATCAGCTTGTCGTTTTACAATGTGTGTATTAAATTAGATAAGGCAAAACATAATGAGTGCAAAGCAGAGTGCAAAAATAGGCCCAGATTAACAATTTAAAAATATAAAGTTCTTCAACAATTCGAAAGCTCACCTGTACAAGTACAAGAGGCTAGAACTTAGTAGAATTCAGAGAATGAATGGCTACAGAGAGAATCAATGCAATCTTTGGCAGAATTCCTAGAAATATCTCCAAAATAAAAGAGGTATTTAGGGGGCACCTGGGTGGCTCAGTCAATTAAGCGGCTGCCTTCGGCTCAGGTCATGATCCCAGGGTCCTGGGATCAAGCCCCGCCATCGGGCTCCCTGCTCCCTCTGCCTGCCTCTCTGCCTACTTGTTCTATCTCTCTGTCAAATAAATAAATAAAATCTTTAAAAAAAAAAAAAAAAGAGGTATTTAGTCCCAACTGTTACTCTGCACTGCTCCCTAAGTAATCATACAAGGGAGTGGCTTTAAAAAGGATCTGATCCAGGGGCTCCTGGGTGGCTCAGCTGGTTAAGCGTCTTGACTCTTGACTTCAGCTCAGGTCATGATCTCAAGGTTGTGAGACTGAGCCCGGTATCGGGCTCCCAGATCATAGTGGAGTCTGCTTGAGAGTTTCTCTCTCCCTCTGCCCTCCCCACCCCACGCTCACTCTCACTCTTGCTCTCTTGAGTGCACTCTCTCTCTAAAATAAATAAATAAATCTTTAAAAAATAAAATAAAAGGGATCGGATCATTTTACGGAAGAGAAAACCAAGGCCAAAAGACAACTGTCCAGGGTCTTAAGCAAGTTAAGCACAGGATCCCAAAAAAGGTCTCCATCAGGGAGTTTATTTTCCACTAAGTAACTATGCCTTCCTCAGACTGCACCTGAAGCACTATACTATGTCTGATTGTAAGGAGCACTGCCTGGCCCCTGGGAATCATTCGATAAACAGCAAAGCAGATTCTAGAATATACTCAGAGTAGGAGAGTTAGAGGTGTAGAGACAGTATATACCACTGAGGACTGGTAGACACAGAAAGGAGAATAAGGAGATGAGGCACTTCAACTATCTGAATTAGATCACTTCTGTAGTTATGTTACAAATGAATCCAGTTACTAGAAACCAACTTGGACTACTTTAAGCAAAAAAGAGAATTTGCTGAAAAGACACTTGAGCACCTCAAAGAACCTAAGGATGATGGAATAACTAGGTCTCATTCATTTGATTCAAGCGTCAACCCTCTCAGTCTGTTTCTCTCATTTCAAAATTTTAGATTCTCTGGATTATGTGATGATCCCATCTTCAGTCAAAAGCTTTCTCAGCTCCTATTTAACTGCAACTGGAAGGTCAAATCCCAAAGAAGAGAGACTCACCATGGAAGAAGGTGGCTACTCCACCTTATACAGAGATCTCAAGAGCAAACTAACAACCACGAATCAAGTTTATGGAGGGAAGTTTTAGATGATCATTACTACACAACAATTGCAGCTAATGGAATACACTGCCTTTTAAATGTTCAAGCAAGTGCTAGGGTATCTGTCAGGAATATTAAAGAGTATTCTAAGATGACTTCTAAGGTTAGTACTGACTTTAAGATTTTGAATACAGGCAAAACTCTCCTTTTAGAAGTGAGGCTGGTAGCACAGGGGGCACAATGGTGGGAAGGTTGTAAATGGAAGATGGCACAGGAGGGATTTCTGTTTCTTGATTGGAACACTAGTTACCTGAGTGTGGGCAGTTTGCAAAAAGTAAAATGTACACTTACAACTTTTCTGTGTGTGTTATAAGCCAATAAAACATTCAAGAAATTTTTTGTGATTTAATGACCTCAACCTCCTTGAATAAAATGGTAGCTAAGACATGGATGAGGCCTGAATAAGGCTTTTACCACATTTCCTTTTTAAGTACAGGGCAAAAAGACTCAAGCTGGTAAATAAAAGGATGCTGGAGAAACATTTCAACTATTTTACAAGATGGTGTACATTATAGATCAACTTATACCAGATAGGGACGGAAAAAATTTCAGGAGGAAAAGGGACCAGAACAATTGTTATCAGCCCTATAGAGATGCCCTATAAAGAAGGATATGAGAGGCTCAAATTTCTGGTAAGCCTAAGAACATAAAATACAGTTTCATGGATTATCACAAAACCCTTTTCTGTATGATGAAAGATCTGGCATGGGAACATACTCAGCTGTTTTTTAATTGATCCAATCCAATTCTAGGGCAGATACAGGCTGTGCTTTTACAAAGCCATTTATCTGTGTATGATGGGCAATAGGCATAAAACATAACCTAGAGTCATATTTTGGGTCCTGTACCCAAGAAAATGCTTAGGACTCACTTTCCCCCCAAAAAACCTACTTTATAAATAATAAGTTTTGAAAGAATAATTTCCTACTCTTCATATACTGAAACCAATAAAGGAGAGACTTCACAGTGGAAAAGAAAAAATACAAAAAGAGGGCAGGCTCTGATGATCAGCTTTTGATACAGTTAACTTACTATCCTAAGAAAACAACATTAAACATTAATCATTTTTGCTCTCATTTACAGAGCATGAACGTGACCTCTTAGATAACATTCCTACTTGTTTTTCCTAACTGAAGATGAAATGAATCCTTGGCTTCAGGGAAATGCCTGTCTGTCTCCCTTGCTTTTTTGAAGACTGATGTTTGCAACTGGTTCTAGGAAGCAATCAGTCTTAAATGCAAAAGGATTCTAGCATCAGTTCTTCTGTGGAGGGATGAACCAACATTAAGACAAATGAACACAGGATCAAAGACTATGGTGAAATGAGGTAAGGATCTGATTATTCCCAAAAGCTTCACAGGACAGGTACCAAAGAAACTGTTCCAACAGTTCCATAACAGAAAGGCCTGTTCTGTATGCATTCATATGCATTCATCTTCCTAAGGCAATTACCAATGAGGCTAGTAGAAGAAAAGGAAAAAGGACCAAGGACAAAGAAAAATATTGGCAGAGGGCCATAAATTAAAACTTCTGCAAAATTAAATGGGCACAGAGGAACTAGAGGTGCTGGAAAAGTCTCTATCTCATTGGCGAAGAACATCTTGTGAAAATAGACTGTCCCAAAATTAACATCTAGAAATGATAACATTTAGGTAACGTCCGGAGTTAATCACAGCAATACAAGACAGCCATAAAAGATGCATTCAAACCATTAGTTCAGAAGGCATGCTTTCTAGTCTATGACTAGATGAAACACAGAAACTAAGAGAACATATCAAAATCTAAATTTAAAAAGCAGGGAAAGATATTAACGTGCAGGAAAAGAAAAACTGTTAAAAAAAAAAAAAAAAAAAAGACACAACATAACTAGAACTACTGAGTCAATGTGAAACAAAATGCTTCCAATATGGAAAAATGGCAACGCAATTCAAGTCAGAGCAATCACAATCCCAAAGAGAACAACTCAAGAACCAAGTCTGAGTTTTTAAAAAACTCTCAGAAAGCCCACAGCAAGGTAGAATATCAAAAGAAAAAATAAGAACAGGACAACTAAATCCACACAAAACATCTATGCATGCACATCAAATTAGAAAAGATGTGGATCAAAACCTAAAACCTTTTTCCAAGCGATAACCCTGCCAGAAGCCCATCAATACTTCATAACTGCAACCCTAGACCTGTAAAAGAAATAAATTCCAGATGAGATACAGGCAGCCAAAGTGGTCACTCCGAAGCAACCAACAAGAAAGCTTCTCCCCCAACCTGCTTCTCAGATTTTTAATCTCAAATGGTTGAAAGATTGTCAGGTTTCCTCTAAAGAAAGTACTGGAAAAATGTTCAGAAAGACACGGAAGAACCAGTGAGACTCTATTCAGTCCTAGGCCCAAAAAGCAAAATAAAAGATCCCCTCAGAATGACACAGGAGTCCGTTCAAAGTACTCAAACAAAACTTGCCAACTGTACATTCTATCATATGGGCAGTATTCACCATCTCTGAGATTTCATAATCAATTTGTCACCTCTAAGATAGCATTTCCACAGGATTCAAACCAAAGGATCAGAATAAAACATATCTTGATTCAGAGCCTGTAAGGAAAAAGTCCTTGAAAGTAACATTACCTCATATTATTTACAACGTAGCCAGCCACTTAAGAGTGAACAAACAGGTCTACAGAGTAACATGACAATCTGGATAAAAGACCTATTAAGTAATAGTACTAGAGAAAGAGAAAGAGAGAGAGAGAGAGAGAGAGAGTGTGTGTGTGTGTGTGTGTGTGGTGGGTAAAAACTTAGAATTTAAATTTCCAAGTTTTAACAGAAATATAATGATAATTTTAACTCCAGATACCAAAATACTGGTAGAAAAAAAGAAGCTAAAGAGTTTATGATGGAAGAAAAGTTGAACAAAGAAGCCAAGAAGAAAGGTGGCTCACTCTGTAACACTTCTAGGCACAAGTAAACAGTAAAGAAGGGAGATCTGATAGAAGTTAATAGAGAACTGGACCAAGTAGTATGTCTCAGGGACAAAGAGATCAAGTAAGCAACATAGGTTATTACTTACTCTTTGCTACTTCAGTAGGAACACATGACTAATAGTGAATTAAAACATGAAATGTAACTCAAGAGGAAGTTGGTGAATGGATAATGTGCTCCTGGCAAAACTGAAGATAATTTACCTCTATCAATTTGTTAATAGGCAAGATAAGGTTTATAGTAGGGATTAAAGGATAATCATGTCTTCTATATTGTAAGGAACAACGGTGAAATAAATTATGGCAAACACATGCTAAAGTAAAGGAAAAAATCAGAAGCTCTATCCTCTCATCTGAGGGATAAGTCGGCATGTTTAACTCTGGTAACATCTGAGAACGGGCCACTTTTGGGGAGAAGACATATTAAAACAATGACTTAACTCTACATCCTTAAAGTCCCAACAGGTACAACCTGAAAAATGCTCTCCGAAACTACGATCAGTTCTCATTAAGACAAACGTAGCCTCAATTTACACACATGTGTATTTTGCCTGCACTCTCCACTCCTAAGTTCACCTTTTATATACATGACAGAAGAAATGCTGGTGAATGTTTTATTACCTTTCTACCCAAAGAATAAAATCAGATCTAAGAGCCAGGTAATGTAGATATTGTGTCATATGCCTACTTGGGGCAATCAGGAAATCACAACTTAACTCTTGTGGCCCAGGAGAAAAGTTGTTTGCTAATGTAGAATACAAATTTTCCCAAGTCTACATTTTTGTTCTCTAGTGTGTGTGTGAAATGTTCCTCAGGAGCACCTCTGAGAAGGCTATAACTGATTCTTAGGAACATTATCTTAAAGTGAGAGTCAGTACATTTTTTCTACAAAGGGGCAGAGGTAAGTATCTTGGGCTCTGAGGGCTATGAGGCATCTGCTGAAACTTCTCAACACTGTCACTGGAGTGCAACAGCCACAGACAATATGTAGATGAACAAATACGGCTCCATTCCCATAAAATTTTATTTATGGATAAATGCAATTTATTTGAATTTCTTTTCATATAATTTTCACATGTCACAAAACCTTCTTCTTCTTTTGATCTCCCCTCCCCCCACCCTTAACCATTTAAAAATGTAAACCAGTCTGAGCTTAAGGTCCATACAAAAACAGGCAGCAGACCAGATTTGACCTGTGGGCTACAGTTTGCTCACCCCTAAACTTAAACTTAAAGAATGACAAATTTCAAAAATTTTCAAATACTACACAAAGTTGACATCTTGTGGCTTTTTTTTAATCCTAAAAAAAGAGGACTGCCTGAGTCACATGAACATCACTAGAAATCTACTACGTTAGGAACAGACCAAAGTAACTCGCAAGTTTTAATGAAAGACAAGGAGAGAAACAAGCAATAGAGGTATGATGTCCGATGTATATTTCCCAATTGTTTGCTCCCAATATATTTCCAGATAAAGTGAAAGGCAAGAAAGTATGAATGACAGGGGGAAAAGTAGGGTGATACTTAAGCCATAAGAGAAAAATCTATCAAGCTATCTAGACATTTGCTAAAAATAAAAGAGGAAAACATCAGTTCTATTTCACATACATGTATGGTTGAAAAGTTTTTGATAGGAGACAATATGCAACACATTCTGAAGCTCATTATCACGTCTAATCAAAAAGCATTTTTTTAAGCCAAAGGAAGATGAGAGCTCCCACCATTCATGCCAGCCATGCCATGAGGACTACCATTTTCTTCTCACTTGGCTTCTGGTTAAAATCAAATTCACATTTAAAATATCAGAACGCTCCACTTAATATCCTACCTTGCATGTTCCTGAACTCCCACAATCTCCACTTCACTATCTGAAGAGGCAATATTAATTTCTTCATTGAGAGGTGCATTGCCACCTGATGTCTTGTCACTTGCTAGGAATCCTGGATCCAAATGACCTGAGAGAGAAGGGGGAAAAAATAAGCTCTACAGTTTGACTTCTTACAAGCAGCACGAACAACTCATTGACAGATTTCCCATCAAGGCTTAATCACAGAAACAGGACTGCTGTACGAGAGCTCACCAGAGTGAAACTGTCAAGTCTCTGGCTCTCTATTCCTTAGGAAGAAAAAAAAAAAACAACAACAACAACACATTGAGTACTTTAGTAAATACGTATATATAAACTGTGATAATACTCTATTATATTTTATTCCACAATGCTTTTTGCATTCAACTCCTGTCTGCTTTTAAATGACCTGTATAACAGGTCTGTCACCACCTAGAGGGCAACGGGGTTCTCTACTGCTTACCGGTGAATTTTAATAGAACAAAATTCTAAACCAGAAATGTTCAAAGGCATAAACGGAATAAATAACAGAAATACTCATTAATAACATATTTATACTGGAATGCTTTATGAAGGATTTAACAATTTTCTTTAAATTTTAAACAATTTTAACAGTCTTTCTCAAAAGGAATGGAGAGCTGACAAAATCTAAACCACATCTAAAAGAAAAAGCTAGAGGCAGATCAGTTTTTGTTCTGAGCAACTGAAATATAACCTGTACGTTGCTGATAGTTCTTATTAGACAGAAGGAAACCACATACTCTTGGAAAAGCATAACAACTTGTGGCACTGGGGCATGTAAGAACTTTTTCACAAGGGGCTTCACAAAGCATCTATTACATGGTGCAGTAAAACACATTCTCCAACGCACCGAAAACATGAGCTCTCTCAATAAAGGCTAAGAGCAAGCAGCAAAGTACACAGCAATATAAACAATTCTAACAAGAGTTAAAATAATTCAGTCTATGTACCCAGCTCTTAAGTGTTCTGGCCTTTAGGAAATTTAGAATATCTAGGAGTTATGAAATAAACCGAGTTGCAACAGGTACAAATTTTCAGTTACTCTTTAAAAGGTATTTTTATTTAAATATATTGTCATCTAACACAATATTATGTCTCTGTATCAAAAAAAAAAAAATCCTTGGAGCGCCTGGGTGGCTCAGTTGTTAAGCGTCTGCCTTTGGCTCAGGTTCCTGGGATCCAGCCTGGCATCGGGCTCCCTGCTCTGCGGGAAGCCTGCTTCTCCCTCTCCCACTCCCCCTGCTTGTGCTCCCTCTCTCGCTGTGTCACTTTCTGTCAAATAAATAAACAAACAAACAAACAAACAAACACTCCCCCTACCTGTGCTCCCTCTCTCGCTGTGTCTCTGCCAAATAAATAAATAAATAAATAAATAAATAAATAAATAAATAAATAAATAAAATCCTTGGTGACACCTCATATAAACTAGACCACGATCAGTAAGATTTTACACACATGACTCTCACTTCCCCCTCCCTCACCCCTTCACATCACTCATTCCAATGCTTCAAGGTCACTGAGAAACCTTGTACTTTCATACTCCTGAGAACTTTTAGTATAACCCTTTTGGAAAGTTACAGACAGTCCCAAAGCAAAAGCCTTCTAATTTTTAAACCCTCTGACCCTGTAGTCCCATCTCTGGGAATCTAGCCTAAGGGAAAAAACTTTAAATAAGCAAAATGCAATGATGTCCAAAGACAGTGACTACTGTCTACGTTAGAAACTTGGGGAAGTGGGGGCGCCTGGGTGGCTCAGTTGGTTGGGCAACTGCCTTCAGCTCGGGTCATGATGCCGGGGTCCTGGGATCAAGTCCCACATCGGTCTCCACCTGCTCTGCGGGGATCCTGCTTCTCCCTCTCCCTCTGCTGCTCTTCCTGCTTGTGCAATCTCTCTCAGTCAAATAAATAAAATCTTAAAAAAAAAAAAAAAAACTTGGGGAAGTGTATGCATAACACAGAAAGTGTCACATATAACACTATAGAAGTATTTTGGTGCTGGGTGAAAGCTGGTAAAAAGCAATCAAGTTTGAATATAACTGTGGGTCTTTTTTTTTTTTTTTTAACAATTCTTTAATATTATCTTTTTTTATTCGGTTGACTATGATGCATATGAGAAAACAGAAGACCACAAAGCTTAAAATGGCTCCCAGATACAACTGGTGATTGAGATTATATTACAGTCTGCAAGGGCTTAACTTTCTGTATTAAAGAACAGCAGAAATAGGATTCTAAATACTGGCAATGGGGAAATAACTGAATCCTATGAGCATATGAAAGGTGGCATTCACCAGACAAAACCCAGTTTTGTTAAATCTGGGGTGGTTGCTTAAATGGGGAGTACGTATGGCTAAGTCTTGATTTGGTAAACTCAGATTCTTGCTCTGACCCCAACACCTTGCTTGTGGCCAAGTGTTTTGTCCAATGTCCAGTTCAATGTTGAAGTTACAACTATTATCACACGCACTGTTCCTACTGCACTGCTAGGAAGGAATATATAGTCTTTTTTCAAGCCTTCAGCTTGTCCATATTCAATCTTTTGAGCAGCCCTGCTTTGTACAACTCTAACAATGTACCTCATCTATTTGTTCCTACAATAAATACTTGTTTATGACAGGCTATGCACTAGGTGCTAGGAATATTACGGAGAACAAAGACAGGAGGTATATAGTGTCGACCCTCAACTAGCTCACGATATACTCCGGGATTATAAAAAGCAGTCCATTATACTGTGACTTGAAAATTGCTCTGTTAGAGAAGCAAGGAGTACATTTAAAGACACAGAAAAGGGAAATTTCCCAGACTTGGGAATAATCGAGGACACAGAGCTCTTAGGGAAGAGTAGGCACAGGTGAGGGAAAGTAGCAATAAGGAACACTGTGTTGCCCTTTAGGGTATAAAAATTCAGCAAAATGTGGGGTAATGTAGTAAAAACAGTAATGGGAAATGAGGCTGGGAAAGTCAGCAGGGCTCAGAGGGCAAGGTGTCTGGACTTGACCTTGAGAAGTCAGAAACCACTGAAGAATTTAAGCAGTGACATGATCTGGTTTTCCATTTTCAAAAATTTCCTTTTGGAGTGTACAAATGGAACTAATATCAGGGCAGGGAATATGAAAGGCAAGAAAACCAGTTAGACTGCTATAGTTTCCTGGGTGAGAAATGACTACGGCCAAACTAGTAAAGAAACAAAATGGGGGGATACTATCTGTGTACGTGTACATACAGAGGGTTAGCAATGCTGGGAATCAGGCAAATCAACAAACAAACCTAGTAAAAAATAATGGCTAGGTTTCTGCTTCAGGTAACTGGACAGAGTTACAGTGCCCTTCAGTGAACCAATGAACAGATGAGGGTGGTTGCTTAGGACATGATGATGGCGTGCCTTTAAGATGTCCAACAGGCAGCTGGAGGTACTATTCTAAAGCTCAGGTCAGAGGTCTAGAGAGGAAATAAGAGTCCTCGGCAGTAGGTGGGAAGGTAAAGGGCAGCAGAGGAGTGAAGGAGGCCTAGAAGAGAACCCTGACAAACACCAATAATTAAGGATGGGCAGATGAAGGGGAGCTCACCAAGTTAAGTAAGAGGTAGGAAGAAAACCTTAAAATACGAAGCCAGGACACCATGGAATGAGCATTTCTAGGAAGAAGTGCTTATCAGTGCCCAATAGAGAGGTCCAATGAGAAGAGGGACTAGGTAGAGTCCACTAGAATCAGCAATAAGATGACCATACATGTACCTTGGCAAGAAGAGCCTCAGAGGAGTGACAGGGCTAAACCCAATGTAGCAAAACAAGGGGAAGAATAACGGAAAGGAAGAATATACACATTTTAAATAGTTTGGCTATGAAGAAAAAGGCAATAGGATAGTACCGAGAAAGAAAAATGAGTCTGAGGGAGAGGTATGTGTGTGTATGAAGAACTTTAAAAGATGGGAGAGACCCGGCCATATGCGGAAAAAAGGCAGAGCAGAAACAAGCATGATGGCAGAAGACTGAGGCAAGGTTCATCTGTGAAGAATGCGGCAAGGCCATGTGCAGAGCACAGGTGTGGGTGGGTAGCAGGATGAGGGTTCAGAAAAGTGAAGCAACCACTATGAAGACAGAACTGCCTAAGGAAAGACAGGATCTGCTGCGCAGCACTGACAGCCAGGGTGACGCTGCACATTAGGACGCTAACTCAACCCACGATTCTGCCGCTATTTGATTTTCTCCAGCTATGCTAAGCAGAGTGATACAGGTTCCAAGTGTGCGTCCAGGGATCAGACTATGCCAGCTAGGTAACAGGAAAGCCCACTCTATAGGGAGCTGGGCTTAAACATGCTGGAGCAGGGAAGAAGTGACGCTAGCAGGGGGCTGGCAAAGAGCCGCGTGATGGGTCAGTGAGGCGGAAGAACAGTATAAGGGAAGTTAACAGCATGAGAGTATACCAGAGCCCCCGTGGAAAAGGAGAAAGCAAGAGCAAGAGGCAGGAAGAAAACCAGTGATTATGAGAAGTAAAACATTGTAATTCTATCTTCTTGGCCACCCACAAACACAAGCCTCTGGGACCCATCCACTGCTCTCCTGTCTCATCCTCCACTCCACTGTTATTCTCCTTTGCTCCAGCCACCCATACTTACCTTCCTACAACTTTTCCACTGCCCTCTGGAATGCCAGATCCATGGAAAACTGCACTGAACTTTTCACCTCCCTGTGGAAATCTGACTCTCCTGAAAATGCCACCAACCCTGTAGTCCTTGGAAGCTGCTCCTACGCCACAGTTGGGGGACCAGAATCACTTACGAATACTGCCCTCCATCCTCACGTACAACACCAGCAGCCCCCACCTTCCAGAGCACTTCCAAATACTAACTACAGGACAGTTTCACCCCTCCATGGAACATTACTGGCACTGGGGTCAGTTTCTCTCTCTTTCCACTTTAAGTTCCTGCTACCATGATTACTTATGACTCTATGAGTGCTCGTTATTTATGTGGTCAACCACCCCCAAATTCTCCATGCCTACTCTCTAAGGAGCCAAGGCTCAAGAGGCACTTAAACTCCCTGTGGTTAGACTCACAGCAAGGGGCTCAGCCCTTACCATCCTAAAAATAAACA